TCTCTCTCTCCCCCCCTCTCTCTCCCCCCTCTCTTTCTCTCCTCTCTCCCCTCTCCTCTCTCTCTCTCCCCTCTACCCCCCCCCACACTCCTATTTTCTTGGCAATTTCTCTGCTCACTGACCTCACAGTGCAATTCAACAAAGGCCCTTCTTAAGGACAGATTAATCATGACATTATTTTTCCATGGAAGGAAATGCTAGCTACAAATGCAGGATGGGGCTACGCAGGCTTCTCAGATGTGAAGATAGGAGGAATTGCAGGAGCTGATCTCTATTTTTTTCCCATAAGGAAGGCTGCCCCTATAGGCTCTTCTTTCTGGGTAGATTCCAGTGTCCCTTCCAAACCATGTACTTTTTTGCTGGTTGGTATACATTAGAAGGTTGGGAAATTGCCCATAGTGCCAATTATTGAAACTAAGTGAAGGGCCTTAATCTAAAAAGACAAAAAATTAGTTTGCCTTTTAAAATGATGAGTTAAGTAACTAGATATGAAGTTGGGTTCTACTGGTAGGAACAGGTGCTGGGGCACTGTGCGTGAGGGAGAAATGCAGCTTCCGGGTGTTCACGAGTGTTTGCCCCTTCTGGCTGGCACTGGTCCTGCCTGGCTGTTCTGAAGCACACTTTTGCCTTGTTCCTGCTCCTTGAGGACAAGACTGTGTCATGGCCCTCAGCTTTTGAGACCTTGTCCTGCTACGGACTGCATCTGGCCAGCCAGTCCCACCTAATCTCAATCTTGTTTACACATTGTATGTATCCAGGACATACACACTGTATGTATCCGGGACATACACACTGTATGTATCCGGGACATGCACACTCTAGTCTATGGAGACATGTTCGCTGTCAACCTGTCAGCCAGCACAGCTAAGATGCCCAGAGACATAAACGCTGGCTTTCACAGCATTTCCAAAGCTTAGTTAATGGCTAAAGATTTTTTTTTCTTAAAACAATAACTTAGATGTCAGTAGCAACATTAGAAATATGTCTAGGTACCGTGTTTTACTATATACCCTAGGCAAAAATAAAGACCAAGGAGTTGCAAAAAAACTTATCAGGCAAAGACATCAATCACAAAGAAAAGAATTCACCATTTTAATACATTATCTCTATGCCCCTCCAGAGTGAAATTAATAAAACATAAATACGGTTAATGCCAAGCACTTCAGCCTCAGAGTTCTATCAAGCTGAAGGCCTTGCCGAGCAGCGGCCTTAAATAGTATGCATTAATGCCCTTCTGAAAACCTACTAGCTTCCAAACAAAAGTAAACATTTTTATGAGAAATAAACCCGAGTAGCAGGAATTCTGGCAAACACATCTGCCTCAGCATTTCCAATTGACATAATACAATGAAGTTTAATGTGTATGTCAACGTGATCAATTACCGACTCCAAGTTCAAATATTTGTGTTCCTCCCACAGTCATGGAAACAGGAAAACTTCCAAGAGTGGCCTGAACCTGGCTGACGTCTCAGCATTTCCCTGGCTCTCTGGGGAGGCAGTGACAATTTCACTTTTGTTTCTCTGTAACCTACCGTGGCTCTGAGATTCACTTTCTTGTTCTCAGGCGTGACGTCACACTGCCCGAACTGGACTTGGAAAACCAGAAGAAGGCAGGCCGGGAGAGAAACTGAAGAAGACGATCTTAGCAATTTCTGCCGAGGCTTTTAGGAGCGGCTTCCCACAGTTTGTAGACACATCAAAACCAGACTGTGGGTCTGGGCTCATTAGCAGAATAGTGAAGTCATCTTCTGTGAGCCGCAGGGGGGGGGGGGGATGGCAAATGTCCTGACTGCATCCTGGTACAGGGCAGGGACCCTTCTGATCTCCTGGCTGATAACCAGAAGCTCCTCTACCGTGTTTGCCAAAGGGAAGTGTGTGAGGCCCTGGGAAACCTGGGTAGTATTGGTGTCAGCCGCTCTCAGGGTCATCCTCCTACACAGCCTGTCTGGGTCAGAAAGTGCTGGAAC